CAGGCAGCTCTGTGCGAGTTGATGGCAGCCAGCTCACTTTAGGCACAGCAGGAAGGGATGAGTTGTAAATAAAAACATGTACGGTGAGGAAAAAAGTACCACTTCTTCTACAGCTGTGCTCCGGGCGTGCGCAGCCTGGTGAGGGTCATACAGCCGTCGGCACTGTGCATGTCGATCCGATCCCAGTTGTTCCCGCTGATGGTGCCATAGATAAGGGACCAAGTAGACAAGGCTGTCCCACTGGGGCACTTGTGGTAGCTCACGTCAAAAGGAGCATCGCTCCCCGATGGATGTGGAGTCTGCCCTGAACGTTTGCGAGGTGTCTTTGCGTGGTTAGGTGGTAGACAATCGTGCGTGCCTGCGTGTGTACTGTAGCTCACCAGTGGCAAGCGTAAACATACCCAGTCGTCGGCGGTGACGTCGTACATGCCCTGCTCAACACACCACGTGCCGTCGTGCATGACCGGAGGGGGGATGTTGGCCTAGAGGTAGATGGCGTCGGCGTTGCAGTGGATCTCCTGCCAGCCGGCCCATGTGTTGCCCACCAGCAGCGGACCGCCCTTGATCGGCACGGCTGGCTCCATCATCAGAGGCATCACGACCTCTGGGTGATGGCAAGTCCTGGCGGACCGAAGCTGGCGACAAAGTGTCGCCAATGAAGTCCACCAAGACCACCATCACGAGCTGCAGGCCACTGTGGCGGCAGCTTGTGTGCCTGAGTTTGACGGTCACAGAGAACAATTGAGAGCGTGAAATGAGAGACCAAAAGAAGACGGTCAGGGAAAGGAGTCCTTGTGGTCTCGATCTTCTTCTCAAACTGTCCGTCGCGGGAGTAGGAGTGCTTGTTGACGGGCACCAGGTCTCCGTCCTTGAAGGTTACGCCGTATTCAACGTTGCCCTTGGCATGGGTCCTCACGCTGATAGGCCCACTTCTGATAGAGGCCCTCAAACTTGCGCCCTCCACTCGTGTTCCTGCTCCTGCATCTCCCTACAAGCATCAACTGTAGCTCACATTCCAGTCTCACACGTGTGGTATGCGTGGTATGTATTACAGTTTGGCTGAGGCGCAAGGGTAAGACACGCGAGTGGTTCAGACGGGCAGGCCGCCGCTGATCTGGTTGAGCTGCATGAGCACCTGGTCCATGGACGGCCGTCGGCCGGGCTTGCGGTGCCAGCAGAGCTTCATCAGCCGGGCGAAGGCGGGCGGACAGTCCGACGGGACGGCGGGCCGCTTGCCATCTAGCACGTCCCGCACCATCTCGGCCATGTTGCCGCCGTGGTCGTCCTGGTACGGCAGCTTGCGCGTGAGCATCTCCCACATCACGATGCCGAACGAGTACACGTCGGCCGACGCATTGACATCGCCACCGCCGCCATCACCATCACCATCGCCGTCGCCGTCGCCGTCAGATCGCCGCGCGGGCAGGAGCACCTCGGGCGCGGTCCACGCCGGCGTGCCGC